GGAGGCTGAGGCAGGAGGATCGCTTGAGCCCAGGAGTTTGAGGTTGCTATGAGCTAGGCTGACGCCACGGCACTCACTCTAGCCCGGGGAACAAAAAGCGAGACTCTGTCTCAAAAAAAAAAAAAAAAAAATTCAGTAGAAAGCTGAAGTGGGAGCATCGCTTGAGGCCAGGAGTTTGAGACCAGCCGAGGCAACATAGTGAGGCCTTATCTCTAAAAAGTAAAAAATAAATTAGTTGGACGTGGTGGCACACACCTATAGGCCCAACTACTTGAGAGGCTGATGTGGAGGATCCCTTGGGCCCTGGAATTTGAGGCTGCAGTGAGCTGTGATTGTGCCACTGTACTCCTGCCTGGGTGACAGCATCTCTAAAACAAAATTCATTAGAGACCCTCAGTGTATCAGGTATAAGTTTGGATTTGGTTCTATTTTACAGCCTTACTTGGGATACAGAACATATACGTGACTCAATTAGAGAATAAAACTGTATGTGGTGCAGCTCATGGAGTACAGACAATAAGTTGCATCAAGATTTCAGTAAAGAAGAAATGCACTGAGTAGAGTCATTGATGGAACAGGTACTGAGAGGACTGGGACTTTAACTGTCCTTGAAGGTGGGTATACAGATAGGAAGGGGCGTGACTGTATTCCATGAATATAAAATACTGAGGGAAGTATGAATTTAGAGTTAGGAAATCAGGCCAGAGCAGAAGTACATTTTGGAAATCTCCCTGCTAAAAAGCCTTGTTCTCCTGAGGTGTGAAGGCATCTGAGGGGTTGATATAGGGGCCTGAATCCTTTTCTTTGCTTGTAGATGAAGGAAGCGGAGGAATTCGCCCGGAACATGGCCATCCAGCAGGAGCTGGAAAAGGAAAGACACAGGATAGCACAGCAGAAGCAGCAGCAATTGGAACAGGAACAGTTCCATGCCTTTGAGGAGATGATCCGGAACCAGGAGCTAGAAAAAGAGCGACTGAAAATTGTACAGGAGTTTGGGAAGGTGGACCCTGGCCTAGGAGGCCCACTGGTGCCTGACTTGGAAAAGCCCTCCTTGGATGTGTTCCCCACTTCACCTATCTCATCCACACAGCCTTTAGACTGTAACACAACTGTAAGGCCAGCTAAGCCACCTGCAGTGGATAGGTCCCTGAAACCTGGAGCACTGAGCAACTCAGAAAGTAGTGAGTACACATGCTGATCCTCTTCCATCTCAGTTGCCACCACGCAGAGCATCGTTCTAGGGGAGCCAGCCCGAGAGTACCTCCATGATACCATTAATAGGCTTTAGTTACAGAAACCTGTTTGATAAGTTTTGCCATATTGTGTCCTGTCACACTGCCTGTATTATAAAAGTGGCCTTTTCTTAAACCATATAATTTACCTTAGGCTAGTCAATGTTCTGAAAAGTTATTACTGTCCTTCAAAGTTAGACTCTAAACTTTTAAGTGTTATGCAGAGATTTGAAATGTTAAGTGAATTAGAGACCACTGAGCCTTTTGTAAAAATAAATTTGAAATTGATAATACCGCTGTGCAATTGAACAGCTGACTTTCAAAAAATAAAAAAGAGGCCAGGCGCAGTGGCTCACCCCTGTAATCCTAGCACTCTGGGAGGCCGAGGTGGGAGGATCGCTCAAGGTCAGGAGTTCGAGACCAGCCTGAGCAAGAGCGAGA